ATTAACGGATACCCTTGAAGTCACCGAACTTCAAAACGCTGAACTTAAGATTATTAAAATGCTCCAGTATTCTAACTTCTCGAGTGAGATTTCTGAGCTTAAGAAAGGTAAAACTCTAACTAATAAGTGTCTGTTACCTCTAAACCCCTTTTTGGATGAGAATGAAATGCTCCGGGTAGGAGGTCGCCTTGGAAACTCAGACGTTACCTTTGATCAAAGATACCCCCTTCTCCTTCCCTCAAAAAATCGTATAGTTCGTCTCATTCTTCACAGAGAACATGTCAGACTTTGTCACTCAGGGCCTCAAAATACTCTGTCCCAAATTCGTCTCAAATATTGGCCTTTAAATGGACTACGTGAAGTCAAAAAGGTCATTCATAAATGTATGGTTTGTTTTAAGTTTCGTGCCAAACCCGCTACCCAGATTATGGCAGATTTGCCAAAGGAACGTTTAAATTCCTCTCGAGCATTCACTCATGTTGGATTAGATTTTGGCGGTCCCTTTCAGATAAAGGCTTCCAAACTTCGCAAGGCTCCTTTAATAAAATCGTATATTGCTCTTTTCGTTTGCTTGTCGACTCGAGCTGTTCATATTGAAGTCGTCTCTGGCCTCTCTACAGAGACGTTTATTCTCGCTCTAAAACGCTTTATTAGTCGTAGGGGCCTCCCTCAGACAATATTCAGTGACAACGCTACGAACTTTCTTGGTGCTCGTAACCAGCTGTTTGAACTCTATAAGTTTTTAAAGGAAAAGGAAAGCTCCCGTTCTATTCAAGAATTTTTGGCCTCGTCCCATATTCGCTGGAAAACTATAGTTCCTCGAGCCCCTCATCATGGTGGTATTTGGGAAAGTGCTATAAAAAGCGCAAAGCATCATATGCGTAGACTCCTGGGCAATCTTAAGCTTACTTTTGAAGAATTCACCACAGTCCTCGTTCAAATTGAAGCTGTGCTCAATTCCCGGCCTCTTTGCTCCCTTTCAAATGACCCCTCTGATTTTACTTATCTTACTCCTGGACACTTCTTGATTGGACAATCTCTCACCTCATTCCCTGAAAAAGATGTGATCCACATTCCCGAAAACAGACTAAATTTATGGCAGCATTTGTCTAAACTCCAACAAGTGTTTTGGAAAAAATGGTCTATCGACTATTTGAACAGACTTCAAAATCGCCCCAAATGGTTTCTTCCGCATAAGAACCTAGAACCCAACGATCTTGTCTTGTTGATTAAAGACAACACTCCTCCTCTTTATTGGGTACTAGCAAGAATAATTGAGGTCTTTCCAGGAAAGGATGGGAGAGTAAGAATTGTCTCGGTCAAAACTAAAGATGGAGTCTTCAAGCGCTCTATTACCAAATTGTGTCCTCTACCCAATGACGATTTAAATTAAGTTAGTATAAGATTATAATTGTAGTGTATTTTCTCTTCCTCGTGCGCTCTTGTCGTAATATTATCTGTTTATTTGTGTTAAAGCCAGCGCTTCAACGGGGGCGAGTATGTTGTAAAAACAACATTTTATATTAATTTTAGTATAATTTTTAGTTCTCACAAATATTAGTTTGGATTTTATGCTACAGACTGTACTTTTTGCCTGCAAAATATTTGTGCCATAAATAGCTTATAAGGGTTATTTGAGTGGTAAAACTGACGCCGCCTTGTCGGCAATTAGGTAAAGATTCAATTCAAAATCTCTCGTAGATGTGACTAGTGTCTCAAGCTGTTTGGTACTAGTAGCCGGTACCTAAGCTCTCTCTTCGCCGCCAAAATGCAGTGAAACGTGTATTTGTTTTTCTCGATAATTTCGCGCGCCCGTAAAACGCTGATATAATAATGGACAATGTTTTAAAGCGAACTCTTTCCTTAGTATTAGTGCTTGTGTAAATATTCTCTTGTTATTAAATGTGTAGATTCAATTAATTACGCTTATTTTTCTCTAAGTACAACCCCTATTAAATCAAACACATAAAGAACCAGCGCCGTGAAGTTCTGCTTGTATATATCGAAGGAAACACTCTTGTACAGTCCATGGTCCTAAAATATTTGGAACTGTACACGCACGGGAAAGGAATTTAATAAGCTTTCCCCACAACAATTGGTGGAAATCGGAGAAAACTCCATCAGTTATCTATAGAATTGCAAGTCTTGTACAGATAGATTATAAGATACCATTTGGTCAAGTGAGGGTATACTTGAGTGCAATACTCCCATCTATGGTGCAAGCGCATGGGCGCATATATTGATAAACATAAAAAAAAAACAGAGAAAAACTAGAAAGAACGACAAAGAGATTTCCTCATCAGAATGACAAGGGCCTTAAGTACGACTGCGACCCAAGCGTTTACAGTGCGGTGCCAACAGGTAACCTGCCACTGCATTTAAAAGTATTAAAGCGTGCTTGCCTATATTGGCAAAAAAGGCGAATCCAGAAAAGTGCTGGAACTACTGAAAATACCAGTACAGTATAAAAAGCAATACATGAAGTTATAATGCAGAAGTGGTAAAATTAATGGAAACAATCACTGAAAGCAACAAGGCTACACCAATATGTATCACGAATAATCGACATACCGGTACACTTTAGTCTGAAACCGGGATTGGTATATTTCTTGACAGACCACAGCCAAAAGACAATGATATATGCGAATGTGGACAAACTTTTAGTATAAATAAAATGTAACATTAGTGGAGTAGGGCCAATAGTTTATAGGTACTAAATTAAAATAATAGTTATTAAAAAATAAGATTTAATAATTGAGGAAAATAATGTAAACCTTTCAGGAATTTTGACCCGGATTAATTTCATGATGTAATAACCTAGTAAATTGTTATTTCAAAATTAATGAAATAAAAAATGTTTTACCGAAGATTGAACAGGCATCATGCCTATAAATATAACGAAGATGAAGAACTGGAAGAAAAAATAATATCAACAGAAAATCGTAGTATCTTGAAAATTTGGAATATGGTGTAAAAAACATAAAATTGGGGTCGACAAGTCTTCTTCTTTATATTTCTTATTAAGCAGTTAATATGAAAAAAAATGACAACTTAATGAAGGCAAGAATGCGTTTAATTGTGCAAGCTAGGAAACAATAATAAATATAACTAAAGAGGTAGATAAGAGAGATAAATAAATATAACTATTTCCAAAGATAACTAAAGAAGTATCTCCATGCATTCAAAATTTAGTAAAGGAATACTTCACAAAAAGACACATAAGTGTGTGATACAGCGTTCTTCTGACATTCTAGAAGATCTGAGAGAAGGCATACAGGCCGTTGCATACGCAGACGACATTAGAAAGTATAGCCGCTTTTTTACTAATTTTAAGATTCTGTAAAGTATTATTCGTTTGTCCGTCCCGCTATTCTCAAATGACTATATTAGGCCACTTACGACACACATACCGTGTCGGTATATGGTTAATTTAGGTGTCTGTGAGACGCTGCTGAAGTAATAGGTGTTGAATTTACGGCAAATCGTGCTGCAGCGCGCCCGACGATGTTAGTAAAATTAGTTTTGAATTTTTATTACTTTTTATTTAGTAAAAATGTTTTTTTGTAATAAATGGTAGTCTAAGATCTTAGAGGAAGTTGTAGTAAAGGATTAATTGTAAGAAAACATTTTAGGTATAAACATTATTGCATCGATTCGATGCCGAATTGCGTCGAAAACACCCAGGTTTGAAACGCAAAAAAGTGCTCATTCAACAAGACAATGCACCGGCTCCCCGATCGGCCGTCACCATGGCAAAATTACAGGAATTGGGCGATGAATTGGTTGAACACCCACCGTATTCCCCAGATCTTGCCGCCAGCGATTGTTTCCTGTTTCCAAACATAAAAAAATTACTCAGAGGACTCCGTTTCGCAACAAATGATAAAGTCGTCGCTGAAACTTCGGCCTATTTTGAAGATCTCGGACAAAAGTACTATTTGGATAGGATAATAAAATTGAAACATCGTCTTCTACATCTACTTAAATTTCCTACAAAATATTTTACCTGATTGGTTGCATTTGGTGCATTTAAATATTCAGCAAAACTTATGGTTTTTAATTTAGCAGGAATGTACGAGACTTTCTTGATAATAACTACGAAGACCACTGGATTGGAAGAGGAGCTCCAGTTGCTTGGCCAATAAGATCGCCGGATTTGAATCCTTGCGATTATTGTGTTTGGAGATACATAAAAGCATTTGTTATTTCGATACAAAATCGTACATAATTCTGGCTTAGGATACAAGATGCCTGCTACGAATTTAGAAATAATTTTTGCAAGAATTCGACGTTCGAAGCAAACGGGCAAATGTATGCATAGAGACTAATAGTCATCACATCGAGGTACTTTTGTAACTATCTACCTTTGATACTTGTTCTTTTATGTTAGCTCCGATTCATCGTAATAAATACTTTGTTCTTAAAAACTTTTAAATAGAATTTTGTATCAATTTGATATTTTGCTTCTTGTTCGAAACTTTTTTACGAATTGTGTACTACATTTATTGAAACAAAAGATAATTTATAAAATTAATTAAGTTACCTATTAATTTAGCTTTCATGACGAAAAAACCAAACATTTTTACATCGATTTTTCTAGAAACAGCGTATCCTACAAACTTAAAGTAGAAGTACCTTTTAGTACGAAAATACCTGAAAATTTAATAATCTAGTCTCAAGAACGCTTAAAAGTTAAAGACAAAAAAGTTATGCGTTAAAATAACCGTTGACCTACCCAAAACGGGCTGACCGGTACTAGAAATTCGGAAATGATGGAATCGATTCAGCTCTGAAGGATAAATAATCGTACCAGTTTTCGTTTTTCTAAATATAAAGAGCTGTAGCTCCCTTACGAAGCAACTCCGGTTTTCGTTTGTCGAGAGAGCTTCTGGACACCCTGTATATTATATACTAACCGTCATATGATGATGTCAAACTAATCTTCACTTGATGACGTAAAACTAATCTTGTAATAAAATATTTATACATTAATTACTTACTTGCATATTATCGAAAGCAATGCCAACGTTGCTACTGAAATTGTCGTTAAACCTCGGCAATTTTGCGTAACGTTGGCTAAAATGTGTAAGAATTATGTTCTTGGCGAGCATTTTGTTACCGATTTCTATGGCTTGTGATGTTGTGGAGTGCATTTTAATCACGGCTTCTTGGACTAGTTCGTCTTCCATTGTTGCTTCGTGGATGAGAATGTCACTGTTGAGACCTAATGAAAATTGTTAACGCATTTTATTTAATAATACAGTAAAAAGAAGTACAAATATGAGCAAACACAAGAACAATTTTCCAGACTTACCCAACTGTACAAGGTTTTCAGAAGGCATCGTATCTCCAGAGTACGTGATTTTAATGCCATTTTTACATGTCAAAGACACTCCGAAAGCATTCGGACAATGTTTAACCAAACAAGTATTTATATCTTGTAAATTAAGCTTGGATAATATACTAATTTTGTTTTGATTTGTTAACACAGAACTGTCAATATCCTAAAAAGCACAATTTACAAAAATTATATAAATTATTTCAAAAACTTACCAAATCACCATTTGCGAACAACTCAAATTCGGGCCGAATATTTTCAAAACATTTGTCGTAGAAATTGAGCCACGCCATAATTTGTTTGGGCGCGAACAAAACAACTGGGCTTTTCTTCATTTTCAATTGTCGAATCGCTCTTTTTCGTCCCTGCAGCAATCCTATAAGTCCTATGTGATGATCGGCGTGCAAATGTGAAACGTAAATAGCATCGATATTGGCTAGGACTTTCGAAGATAGTTCTGGTCCGAAGAAACGTATTATTTGACCATAGGTTCCCTCACCACAGTCCATTATAATGTTCTGGTTTTCACTGAAACATTGTACTTTTAGCTAATGGTAGTAAAGAAGACGAATACACTAAAAACTCAAATTTGGTAGTGTCTAAACGCAACAGACTATAGGAAAATGTAGAAGACGAAATAATTGGTTCATCTTGATAAGTTTTTTGTACCATGTAACACGAAAACGGTCAGACAGGGCAAACTGACCGTTTTCATTTTTAAAAACATTAAAACTATTAATAAAACTTATTCGTTTTTGTATTTTTCTTATAAATTTAAAATATATTAATAATTTAATGGATATAACAGCAATTGGGACCGTGCAAGTTCGGAACAGCGACACCTGGTGTCGTAAATCAGCAAAATATACTGCGCTTTCATGTTAGATCGAGGTTACCGGATAACTGTCAAGGACGTAGCCCCAAAAAAGAATAAGAAGAAAAGGTAAGATTGAGGTTATGTCGGTATGTCATTAAAAGGTAAACGTTGTATTTAATAATATATTTATTTGTATTTACACTACATACAACGTTTCTTATAAAACGAAAGAACAAGAAGAAACGTTGTATGTAGTGTAAATACAAATAAATATATTATTAAATTACAGCATTACTGTTAATATGGATGCAATAATAAAAACTGGATTTGAGAAAGTAAATCACCAAATAACTTTTCAACCAAGCACTGAGTCAAAGGCAAAAGCTATAGTAGTGGCAAATGTCAAAAAAGAATGGAAGAATGGACCACAGGAGTGATGACGTAGATTTTACTGACATACGTCAGTTTCACTTTCCAAACAAACCTGGTTTAGTGTGGATAATTTGTATTTTTCGTTATTTTTTCATTTATTTTGTAGAATCTTTCCGCTTATTGCAATATTTAAGTATTCTAGTATTTACTACAACAATTTTACAAGGTTGTGTAAATAATAATGCACATTGTTTTATGCTAATAGGTTTGTTCGTAGAACGATCAGCAACCGTTGCCAACCATCAGACGCACGCGCAGTTAACAATTAGCGTTCGTAGAAGCACTTCTGACGGTTGGCAATTTTAAGTTTGCTGTTCGCAGTAATAAAGTGATTAATCAGAATTCGGTTTCCAACGGTTGTTAAAATCCCCAACGATTGTGCGGACTAAAAATCAGCGACATGCGCAGAGGTGTTGTTGTTGTATAAATCTATTTTATAACCACAAAACAAACGTTGGGTTGTTATAACAACTATATAAGTATAACTAAAAAATAAAATATACTAAGAAAACTATAATCAAACTAATAAAATCAAATAAATGACTAATATTATTAAACAATAAATGCAAAAAAGTGAATAAAAAGATTTAACAAACCAATTAGATCGAATTCTAAAGGCCGTATGACACTATGCATTTTCTTGTATTATTTCTTATATCGTTTCTGATATAACAAAAAAATGGATAGTGTCATACAAGCGTATAGTTTTTATATCAGAAACGATACAAGAATTTGTATCCGCTGCATTTTCTTGTACAAGAAATAACCGCTCTAAAAATTAATGATGAGTTTAAAGATTATTTTATATCTCCAAATAAGAGAGTAGAATTTCAAGAGCATGCTATTTAAACACATAATTAAAAAAAACAAATGAATTATTACAACCAAATTATTATTTCTGTCTTCCATTACAGCCTGTTGAATATCTTCAAAAATTGTGGTTTCCAATTTAGTTTTAATATTGGGACATTTTATTTCTTTAATTTTTGCACCACAGTATTTTAAAAAATAATCAGTAGCATATGTCCTCAGTCCCCAGTAGCTTGGAGTCCTCAGGTACTGCAGTTCTATTTTTATAGGTGTCAAAATTTCGACCAATCATGTGCCAAATCACATACAATTTCTGGTAAAAGACCTTGCATAGTGTCATACAGGGCAAAAATGTACGTGCAAGAAACGATACAAGAAAACATAAATAACTTTCTATATCAGAAACGATATAAGAAATGATACAAAAAAAATGCATAGTGTCATACGGCCTTAAGAAATAAGAAAAGGAGATTTCGAGATTTGACAAACGACAATGACAAATGCAAAATATTAAATTTTAGGTGTTCGCAGAGCACAAAATCACAAACTAATTCCAAACAGTTTCCAACTGAACATGCGCACTGTATTTCAAATCACAAACCGTTTGTAATCGCTACTACGAACAAACCTAATAGCAATAAAATGCATGTATCAATAAAGTAAGGTTACAATTTCTTTATTTAAACTTTTAAACTATATTTCATAGAAATAGAACTCTGAATTATGATGGTATTATCGTAAAAACACTATGCTTACAAGAAAAAGCAGCAAAGGAAGCAAACGTTAACTTTATAGAAATTAATAATCAAAAGACTGATATTTTTTTGTACACACTTATGACAAGTAGAAAGAAAAGTATTTTTGAAGTGTGTATATTTTAGGCAATTCCTAGCTGAGCGCTTTCGGCTTTACAAAGCCATCATCAGAGCTATGCTACAATAAAATGTTCTAGTAAGTACTAATTGGTAAAGATTGAAATTTTAACTTACGTCAATTTTTAAATACCACTACAAAGGAGAGATCTCATTTCCTTAAGTTTCAAAATTATGATTTTTTGTAGGAGTTGGAATTCTTAAAACATATAAAAAACATATAAAAAGTCGACACTGGACTTCACAAACACGTTAAAAAATTGAAAAAATTTTTGTCATGGTACGGGTTTAAGACCCGACCATCTATTGATGTGAGGACGTAGACTGAATAGAACTAGTGAAATCAAATGTCGGTCCTTTTAAACGATTTTTCAAAAGTGACAGGTGACAAATGTCATATATAGGAAATAGAGATTGTTTTTTTAAATTCTTACAAATTTTGGAGATTAAACACTTTAGATTTAATCTCCAAAATTTCTTCACATACTCTTCCGAATAACTTCACTATGGTCTCCTTCGATGTAACAAATCTGTTCACCAATGTTCCCAGATTAGACACCATTCCAATCATCAATAACCTTCTACAAAGAAAAAACATTGACCAAAATAAATGTTCACAAATTACTTCTCTACTCCAATTTTGTCTTTCCCAAGATTTCTTTATCTTTAACGATAAAATTTATAGACAACCAGAGGGTTTAGCAATGGGAAATCCTTTATCTCCTCTACTTGCAGATCTTTTTCTAGACTCTCTCGAAACTAACTTTGTTCATTCTCAACCACAAATAATCTTATGGTACAGATATGTGGATGACATTTTAGCCTTTATAGAAGGCCCACCTTCAGAACCTCACAATATTTTGTCAATAATTAATAATCTACATCCTGCAATTAATTTTACCTTAGAAGTAGAAAGCAACAACATTATCAATTTTTTAGACCTAACTATCAAAAAGAATACTTCCTCCTTTTCTTCTTTGCCTACACTAGAATTTTCAATATTCAGAAAACCTACTCAAACTGACCATATGATACCAACATCATCAAATCATCCTTTTCAACACAAGATGGCAGCTATTCAATGTTATGTCCACAGACTTCTTAATATCCCTATGTCTCAAGAAAATTACAATAAAGAAATCTCCATCATTAAACAGATAGCAAACAACAATATTTTTCCTTCTACTACTGTTGATAAAGTCATTAGAAAATCTATACTCAAAAAGAGACTAAACCAAGCTTTTAATGTTGATAACAAATCCAACACTACTTCCATATATAGATCCTTAACTTACTTAGGACCAATTTCAGAAAAAATTTCAAGAGTACTTGTTAATAAAATTAATGACTTAAACATCTCCTTTAAAACCAAATATAACATCAAGTCCATCTTCAGCAAGACCAAAGACAAAGTTGACAAACTAAACAGAAGTGGTATTTACAAGCTGTCCTGTGGTGACTGTAATATGACTTATGTAGGTAGAACAATGAGAACTCTGAATCAAAGAATCAAAGAACACCTCAATAACCCAGAAAAATCAAACTTTGGATATCACATTAAATTTAATAATCATTCTTTTTCTCCTTCTGAAAACAGTAAAATTTTACACAACATTCCCAATAAAAACTTTAGACTCATGAATCTCTTGGAAGATCTAGAGATATCCAAAGAAATGAAAATAAACCCTGATTGTTGCTTAAACACACAAATCAACCTCAATTGCAACTATAAACCTCTTTTTAAATTATTATGGGAGACTTTAGAGGAAGAAGGGTGACCTCATGCAATCTTGTTATATATTTTTCATACTTTTATTTTTTAAACAAATTTTAAACTTTATTAAAATTTACAACATTTTGTAATTCATTTGACAGTTGTTCTTAATTGAAACATGAAAATACATTCTTAAAAAAATTTTTTATGCAAACCTCTTACAATTTTCCATCAAGACATACAATTCTTAATACACTTAAGTATCAGATAACATAACATTAATACCAGGTTTCTTCTTTATAGTGTTGTTGAACAATTTGAGCCCTTGTTCCTTAAGGATAGCTGTCAGATTGAACATACATTGACCTTGAGCAATGACTTGAGTGAATTTACAAATTAATGTCATTCTGTATGATGTGATGAACACATAAAATTTAATTTAAAAACCTAATTTTTAGAAAGTCTTTGTTGACTAGTAGTAATTCCAAACTACTAAATAATTTTGTAAGAATTTAAAAAAACAATCTCTATTTCCTATATATGACATTTGTCACCTGTCACTTTTGAAAAATCGTTTAAAAGGACCGACATTTGATTTCACTAGTTCTATTCAGTCTACGTCCTCACATCAATAGATGGTCGGGTCTTAAACCCGTACCATGACAAAAATTTTTTCAATTTTTTAACGTGTTTGTGAAGTCCAGTGTCGACTTTTTATATGTTTTTTATATGTTTTAAGAATTCCAACTCCTACAAAAAATCATAATTTTGAAACTTAAGGAAATGAGATCTCTCCTTTGTAGTGGTATTTAAAAATTGACGTAAGTTAAAATTTCAATCTTTACCAATTAGTACTTACTAGAACATTTTATTGTAGCATAGCTCTGATGATGGCTTTGTAAAGCCGAAAGCGCTCAGCTAGGAATTGCCTAAAATATACACACTTCAAAAATACTTTTTTGCATTTTCTTTCTATTTATAGAAATTAAAAAGTCTTGAGATTTGACATTTCAACTTTTGTTTGGAAAGTAATAATGTCAATGTTACAGTCGTGACGTCACACTCCTGCGGTCCATTAAGAAAAATAAATTATCAAAAATAATGCTAATGCATAAATTAGCAGGTTAAGCCCTTAATATCATCATATTGGTTTGAACAATTAATTATTTCCCTGTAAACTTTTGGACAGCGAATATATCTTAATGCATCTTCAGAAAAACTTGAACTTGATGCATATTTGTAAACTTCAAAAAAATAAAATTTAAACATTAAACTTGATTTTTGGGTTAAAATGAACTCTGAGTGAGTGTTATGAAACTAAAATTTACACTTAAAAGTGAACTTTTATTTATTATTTATTTCAAACTGACTTTAAAATCGGGCGCAAGAATAATGCATAATTTAGGTTATGTTACTTATGCTTTTTTATGATATAAATCCACTTTTCTCTTTGTAGTAGCTTTGTGCTTCGAAGTTGGAAACGAATAAAACTTAAATTGACAATTTTTTGTTGTATTTTTACAATTTATAACACAGCATTTCCTAAATCCCATTTTCTTCAGTGACAGAAGGTGTAAATAAACACGAATATGAAATATGACAATTGACAATATGAATTTATGAAATCTATGAAATGTGCAGTAAAAAATGCAAGATTTCTCCGCTACTCGCGCACGATCGTTTCTCGTATACCCTCCAAGTACTTGCACGTCGCCAATACAGGAAATGAGATGGACAGCAACGGGAATTCTGGAAATGGAAGATACTATAGTCTTTTGTTCGGGTAGTGAGATAAGACATGAAAATTCAAGATGGCGGCGATATTGGAAATATTGACGTTATACAAACTTGAATTATTTTGTAAAACATGCAGAATATAATGCCATTTAGTATCCCAAAATTTCATGATTTTAAGTTAATTCGTTTCAAAGATATATCCTTGTTGCCAGACTTTTTAGAAACCACAAAAAATTCAAATAGATAAAAAATGTTTGTTTAAGAATCACTATTATTAATATACATACATACATATTAAAAAAGACTGTACTTACTTAAGAGCTAGTAATATGCCACTGGTGTTTCTCGTTTTGTTCGGTATACAAGATCCGGTTCCCAAAAATAAAATCTTCGGAAATTCATCTCTAGACACCGTTTTGAAACTCAAATTGGATTTGAGAGTTTCTAAAACAGTTTTAAAATCGGCAACGTTATACGTTTCTTCTAAATATTCCGTAGGATTGAGTCGTAGTTCCAAATTCCTGAAATATTCACAGTTATACTACCTAATATTTGTAGTGATATTTATAGTGAGATATTTAAAAGTATCCTTATAAATAAATTATCGAATTTATATTATAAGCAGCGAGCAAATGTATGTTTTAATGAACAGCTGTCAAAGGAAATTGAAAGTAGACGTGGGGTGAGACAAGGATGCGTATTATCGCCAATCTTCTAATAAACGAAACTAATGTCGGACGAATGAAAAAAATATTCATATCTGGGAATAATGATTAAAGTAAAAAAATAAAGATTAAACAGTAAACTTCAATAAAATGAGAAGAATACTATGCACAAGATATCTAAAGTTGGGCTGTATCAAAACATCGATGCATTCTGTTGTATATACACAAAGTAATTTATTTCATGGTTTTTGAGTTCTACGAATACAAAAGTGATGTAATATACAAAAATAACTCGCGAATAATGTCACAGTTGTACAAAAATCTAACAGGCAAACTGTAACATGTCAAAAAATATTTTATTTAGTAATCTATTTTCAAATTTATTTAAAAAAATTCTACAAAAATATAGCAAACAAAAAGCTGAGAGACTGAGTAACGAGATGTGGAATAGAAAATATAGACTAGCTAACCAAAAGGACAAAAATAAAATGGAGTCAATATCCACACTGGCTCACCCCAGTATTTAGTAAGATTGTTAGCATACCAAGTTGGACCGCGATGAATGTGCCTACTTGATGATACTAAGGTTCGGGCTTCAGTCTGGTAGAGCTGTCTTGGTCGAGGTTCGCCAGAGCTAGACTACAAGTGATTAACGAGGGAGATATACAGAAGAAAAGGAAACGGAATAAAATTTTGAGTAGCACCCTATTTTTGAAAGGAACAAGGAAACCTATAAGATCCGTAAAGAAATAAATTAAGAACGATCAATATGAATCACACGGTAATTACTGCACATTAAGAAGAGTGTGTCAAAATGATGTATATGGACTCACCCAATATGCGTTGAAGTAATATAATGTTACTAAACAGTAACACAAAGGTAGTAGGAGGTACTTATATCTCCAGGTAGATTATATTCTCGGGAGAAGGGAAGATAGAGGACGCCTCTATCTTCCCTTCGAGTATCAGTTGCTGAAAAGTGTACCTTTCTCCTCGTAAGATGTGCCCCAAGTATGCAGTCTTCGTACTTTTTACATAGCTAAAAATTTCCCTATCCTGCAAGCCCGCTCTTCTGAGTACTTCCTCATTTCTGACCCTGCACGTCCATGATATTCTAAGCATTCTACGCAGGCACCACATTTCAAACACTTCAAGTTTGTTAATGGAACTGGCCTTTAACGTCCATGCTTCCATCCCGTACAAGAGAACAGGCCACACGTAACACTTAAGCATCTTGTATCGGAGATTGAAGTCCAATTTGCGATCAGTCAGAAACTTACGAAGCCTCAAAAAACCATTTCTGGCTTGTTCAACTCTGATCTTTAATTCATTCTCGGGGAAAACCCTCGTTCAGCAAAAAACCCAAGTATTTAAATTGCCTAACCTGTTCGATTTCTTCTCCATAGACATATATCTTTGTGTTTGGGTAATCATTTCTACTTATAATCATTGTTTTTGTCTTCTTGATATTTATTTTCAAACTCCGAGCTTCACTTGCAAGAGTTAGATCATTTAAAAGGCATTGAAGATCTTCGATGTTATCTGCCACTATGGCTGTATCATCGGCATACCTGATGTTATTTATAAATATACCGTTAACTTTAATACCCTTATTAGAGTCTGCCACTGCTTCTGCGAAGGTTTTTTCTACGTATAAATTGAACAGCATTGGTGACAGTATACAACCTTGCCTTACTCCTTTTTTAATGGAGAAATCTTCTGTTTCGTTGAAATTTTGAAGACGTACTGTTACTGTCTGGTTCCAATACAGATTGGCGATAATTCTTAGGGGATCTTAGGGGACCCAGGACACTTCCTTGAGGGACACCGGATTTTATGGGATAGTAATGAGAGGTTTCTGTAAGGGATCTGACTTGAAAGTCACGTTCTATGAAGTATGATTTTGAGAGTAGATAGCGAGGAGTGGGAAAGGATGGCTGAAGTTTATACAGGAGGCTTGTTCTATATCCAGGAAGGCAGCAGTGCAAATTTTTTTCTCTTCGAGGCATGCATTAATGATTATAACAATCCTATGACATTGTTGTAGAGTTGAATGAACTGGTATGTTGGGATCACTGAATTAATTTCGATGTCATTTGAGATTCTTTGGAGCAGAAGTCTTTCTAAGATTTTTGACATTATTGGAAGTAAGCTGATTGGTCTATATGAAGTAGTGATATTTGGTGGTTTATTTGATTTACTAATCATAATTATTTGTGCGAACTTCCAATAAATCAGGTAGTAGGCTAATCTTATGATACTATTATATATCATTGTTAGTACGACAATTGCTTTTCCCGGTAAATTTTTTAATATTAGCTCGGTGATCATGTCGAAGCCTGGTGCTTTCTAGTTATTGCATCTAGAAATTTGTTCTTTCACACTATTAGGAGTAAAGCATTTGATTGGTAGCATCATTGGGCATGGAGTGTCTAAGAAGTTTTTAATTTGTTCTTCGTTATTATTGTTATTAAGTTCAGGTGCACCAAAAACGTGTGAGAAATGCGCAGCAAAGATTGATGCCTTTTCTTGTTCAGTTTTTCCCCAGCTTCCATCAGCTTTCCTTAGAGGTGGTATGAGCTTTATAGGCCTCTTGAACGATTTCGTTGCTTTCCAGATGCTGTAGTCTTCATTTGACAGGCTGTTGATGAATAGTTCAAATCGCTCCTCGCGTCTTGTAGAGCAGTTTTAAGTTACCGTGTTAATCTATTGTATTCATTTTTATCTATAGGATTGCGACTTCTTTGCCATATGCGCCTGGCTCTTCTTTTTTGTGCAACAAGACGTTTTATATATACGGATATGTTGGGGTCACTTGGTTCTTTGTCAGTTTGAGAGGGTGTAGCTATTTCAGCGGCTGCATGTATAGCTTGGGTGAGAAGAAGCACATCATTATCGATATCGTCTGGTTGCTTTAATTTTATATTTAAATTTAAATTTTCATTTATGTAAGACTCGAATACATACCAGTTGGTCTTTGATGTTGTCGACTTAGGGATATTCGGACGTTTTATAATTTGCGTAGATGTGTGACAAATTTGACATTGCATGTCAAAAGAATTTAAGGCCATGCTATGGACGATAAAGAAGTCGAGTAGATCTGGGATTTTGTTTGGATCTGATGGCGAGTAGGTGGTTTGCCCTGTAGATAGGTAAGAGCTGTTTGTGTTAGCTATGGTAAGATTTTTTCCCTTTGTCGTACATAGTCTCGACCCCTAGTCTGTATGCTTGGCATTGATGTGGTGATATTATGCCTTGGAGGGCTGTACATTCCCGCAATGTCAAAAGGCCAGGGTTGGGAACTGATACAGATTACTGCAGCTTGTATTTTTTCCGTCTGATACATTGTTTCCTCATAGTGTGGTATGGTATTACGTACAATAATGGCAGCGCCACCATGTGCTGTTCCATCACGATGGTTGGTGTTGTAAATAGAATAATGAGGGATCTTGAACATCTTTCTGTCAGTGAAATGGGTTTCCGATATGAGTAGAATATCAATTTTGTTATGTTCAAGAAAGTTAGTAACTTCTGTGTTATGGTTGCCTAGGCCGTTGGTATTCCATTGTGCAATTCGTAGTGACTTAAGTTCCATTACTGAATTTATTTATTACTGTGGAAAGCATGTTTAAGATCACGCTATTTTGATTTATTAGTTGTAAAAACATACAGCATTTTTCAGATAAAAAAGCTTGCACGTCATTCAAGATTTACGTCGTCAAAACCCCACAGCGTTGCCAAAACATCAGAATAGTTAGTAAGTGAGGAATTTTTAAAATGTCAACTATTGTATTAACAGTAAATACACTTAATTTTAAGACTACTGCAGCAAATTAAAATACATAAGAAATCATTTTAATACAAAATTATATATTCTAAATTTTAAACTTACGTCTTTTAGGACTTTAATAACAAAAACGTCCCGCCATTATATATATATATATATATAATATATATATATATATATATATATATATATATATATATATATATATATATGGTATTCCGGGTTTGACTCCGCGTTAAATGTTGTTGGTTTTGATAAAAACCATTTTGACGACGTTTCGGCAAGATCTCACTTGCCATTTTCAAGTCTCTCTGGATGGTCTGCTTCTTGTCGATGTTCGAGTGGAAGTGACGCTACGGGTGTTAGGCAGCTGGCTTTTGTAGTTACTGTGCGCGCGCTCTTGTAATTGGTCCAGTGCGCAGGTCAGTGGGCGGGGTCTTGGTCGATTCCGTTCTTGCGTTATTCTTCGGGATAATTGGTTTCCATGTTTTTGGCAATCTTTGGGCATCGTCTCGAGAATTTAAATTATTTTCTTGTTTTTCTATTTCAATGGCTTCTCTGATAATTCGTTTCCTCTTGTTTTCGACATTCGCTAACATTACCGTATGTTTGAGGTCAATTTTGTGTCCTGTAGCTAAAGAATGCTGGGCTAGGGATGACGTCGTTTCTTTTCGTTCGATGGCATTGCGATGTTCTTCTTGTCTTACTTGGATCCTTCTATTTGTCTGTCCAATATAGGCTCTATCGCATTCTCCACAGGGAATTTTGTATACTCCTTGGTTTTCTAGGGGAATCTTTGTCTTGGCAGATGGTAATATGTTTGCGATTTTTCTGTCGGTGTTAAAGACAGTCTCTATTTTGTATTTTCTCAGGACCCTGCTTATCTTCTCTGTTGTGCCTTTAATATACGGTAGAGTGGTTTTGGCAATCGGTTTTTCGTCTTCTTTTATTTCTTTTGTTGTTTTTTGTGGTCTTCGTGCCTTTTCGAAAAGGCATATATATATATATATATATATATATATATATATATATATATATATATATATATATATACATATATACATATATATATATATATATATATATATATATACATATATATATATATATATATATATATATATAATATATATATATATATATATATATATATATATTATATTATGATCAAATTGTGTAAGAAATCAAAACATAAGAAAAATTTCTACTCTAAAAAACCGGCAACACTTTATACACTTTTGCCACCCGCTGAACTGTCAATAACATTTTATATATTTCCGTATCAGCTGCGTACAATTGTCTAATATATTTAATTAAAATTATTATTTTGTGGAATATTAGACTTCAAGAGTTATCTCATAAAATTTATATTATTAATAATAATAAATGTTTTTGGTTATTTCATCAATATAATTCTAAAAATGACAATATAATGATGATTATATTTTTCTGATTATTACACCATGTTGACGCCTATGAAAGATCGAGCAGTTCCGTATGAGTTTCGTATTATTAGCTGTGTTAGGAAAATTTGAACTATAAGGTTGATGTTCCGGAAATTTTAAATACAAGTGACGTCACTTTGTTAAGCAAACTCTTCAGCATCACTCCAATGTCACTGTTTGTATTACTTACATGTGTTCCACTTGTTATTTGAACGTAAGTTGCATGATTTTGGTTGTTCTTGTTCTTGGAGTTCTTATTATTATAGACATTATTTGCATTTGTCCCACCTGTTACTTGTGTGTAAGTCGCGTGATTTTGATTGCTTAAGTTCGGATTACTTTGTACTGTATTTCTGTTATATTGCAGTTATTTATGGTTCGCTGGAGTGAACGATCATACTCCTCTTGTTCTGTTTCTACTGTTAATTCAGTCTCTATATACCATGCATCTTCTGTAATTTGCGGTGTGTGCTCCACTGCAGAGAGCGCATATGGCAGGTATGTCCCTAGGTTTTTAACAATCGGCTGACATATGGTTGCCTCCACATTTGACACAGTGATAAGGCCCATTGCAGTATTCTTATAGTGTCTGGACATTATTGTTCTTTTTATACTAACATTATTTTATTTTGATTAGATTCTATATCAACGTAGAACATCATTAGAGTCCTTACTTACTCTGTGTTTTATATTTACAATATTGCGTACTAAATGCCCATGTTTTTCTATTTCACTTTTTATTATATTAATGAGCACTGTATGATGTAGATTACAAATTACAACTCTATATGCTCTATCTTCTTTTGTTTGGTACGTATGATGCACAACTTTTTTGCTGTTTAAATGCCTTAACAGTTTTCGGTATGTTTCAGAGTTCCGGGTTTTTTATTGTGTTGTTTTTTAATGCTGTACAATAGTATATCTCTGTTTTTGTTACTTCCGATAGGTTATTAACCATTTTATTGTATTCAGTAACACTATATATAAAAATTGGTGGGGGTTTAGAGGTGCTGGAGTTTCGTTGGTATTTTCTGTACTGTTATTGTTGGCGTTTTCGTTTTCATTTTGTAGAATCTGAAATTTATTGCTGGTTACTACCGTGTCTTCGTTTTCTGTTGGTGTCGGAGAATTAATTTTACGTTTTTTGTTACTATGTTGTATAGTTTGCCATTCGTGGATGTCCGATGACTCAATGTCGCTGATTTCTCCTAAAGATTCTTCTCTTTGTAATGTATGTGTCATTTCATTAGAATCAGAAGCTTCATTTTGAGGTGTAGATAATGTGGGATTTATTTTAGGACTGTATTGACAGTTTGAGGAAGATTGTGATAGTACTTAGTTAGGAACATAATATATTGTTGTTGGTGGGTTGTTTAAAATTGTGCTGAATTTGGTTGTAAATTTTGTGGAAAAGGGAGATTTATAGATTGACCATTAACAGTAGCAGTATAAAAAGGAACACTCAACGATAAATCTGGTAGAGCACTCATTTTAATTGTTAAAACTATATATTTTAATTTTTAAATAGTTTATAAATAGTATATCCACTTGATACACGATAATGACGGCAAAAACGAGGCCGGAGCCCGTTTTTCATGACCACTATAAACTTTCGCCTAACTCGTATCGATGTTTACAGGTCGAGAGTCAAATGAATACTGACAAATAAATATGACATATGATTTTCCGGTCAACAATCATTAGTGATTATGATTTTGAAACTGTTTTCTTATATAATTTATATGTTATCTACTTTATTTAATGAGAATTTATCATAATTTTAAATGGAAATATGTTTATTTTGACTTTTCGATTTCTATTTCAGAAATTACGAGAACTATTTCCGAATTGGAAATCGAAACGTCAAAATAAACGTATTTTTAATTAAAATTGTGGTAAATTTCCTTTAAATATAGTAGATAATAGTCACTTAAGTTATTTTCTCTCGACAATTTGTTGTATAGTATAGTACAATACGCATCTTACCTGTCTAAACCTTTTTTGGGTCTTAAATGATAGGCACAAAACGTGTCTGGAGTAATGTACAACGAGGGACTCTCTGACAATTTGGCCGTATTTAAATTATTTTCTAAATCCTCTACAAGATCTTCCATTTTTTGTTTCTTTCTTTCACTTGCACCCTGTAAATATCACGAAAAAACAAAATTATGCATAGAGATCAATTAAAATCGTGTGAGAGAAGAAAAAATAATTTATAGTATAATATATTATATTTTTTTAAATATGTCAGAAATGAACAAATACCAAACGAAATGAATCTCCCTCCATCTCCCTAAATCATACAGCAATTTGCATGTCAAGACCACAAAGTCATTCCCAAATTTCTACAACTCAACCATCTTCATCTTGTTGTATCTCCCAAATTCTTAGAAAAACAAGTTTTACGCTTCATCGTGACATTATCCATCCCACTAAATAAGGAGCTACATGTCACAATCACCCACATTTTGAATATTGGGTCTTCTATTCATTCTTTTAATGTAAATCCCACATTATTGGACACTTTTAACCGTTTAAACACCCAGATAGCCTTAAACATTTTCGAATCCAAGATAAAAATGTCCAGACACCCAATCCTACAGATTTAAAAACTGACCAGTCATTCACAATTTTTTGACACTCCCGTTTCTACCACTGCTATTTTAGTGTTTTAGTGATTTCAGTTACTCTCGTTACATAAACTCAGATTCCACTTGAGACAACTATCTCTCAAACTGGAGAAGTTATCACCAATGTACCTTCTGACGAAGCCAAAAGAGATCGCCAGAGTTCTTCTCAGAAACTCAAAACATTAATCACTCCGAGAGAATAGCCCTGAAAACTCTTTAAAATCTAAAGTGATTCTTGAACAAAATTAATTGTAAAAATTCCAGAACCATGGCCCCTATCAGTTTATATAAACAAGGAATTATCAGAGAAGCCATTTGAGATCGAAAAGCTGTCTCTGCCGAAAAGAAAAAATTGAGGTCTCAATAAACAAGAGTATGCACCCAAGTACCTTTTAACAGGAGTCCTTTTCTTAATAAAAAAAAAACACTATCCGCTCCATTGGCGGTAGAAATGGACAGTCCCCGTTAGATCCAGTAGTGCAGTGAACAATGTACTGGTGAAGTGATTTGGAGACTCGGGAGGTTGAGACCCCGAAGTTCTGATAAAGACTCCAGAAAGGAAGTCGAAAGCATGACGCAGTTATTGAATATACAGCAGTAAGTTATAAAGCACACTACAAACTTATTGCGTATAACTATACACATAGCTATGGCATCACAACTAATTTTTGACATTGATTTTCCTCGGGAAAATATCGTGATTTTCTTGAAAATATCGACGAACTTAAATAATATAAGTGACACCTTGTTCTGCTGATTTAGACCTTAACGATTTTCTTTCGTAGGATTATTTTGACAACAAAATGAAGGTAAGTTTTCGCCACTCAATTTGTATTGGGCTCTACGTTTTTTTTGTTATTGAATTAACCATAGCAATAAAGTATTCCATTGTTGTCCAACTACAATTAGTTTTTGCCGTTCTAAATAATCATATTATATAATGCCAAACTACAGAAGCAAGAAACAATTAGAAAGCAAACTCTTACATAATTAATATGTACTAGATATAAATATACAACAACTTTATCTTGTGTGATGTCATGGTGTGATGGAGAAGTGAAGCAGATTTCAAATTTAAAAAATACAGAGTATTTCATGAACGTTCGTCAAGCAGCATAGGTACTAATACATTCGAGGCGAATCGGCGCGCATCTAATTTGTAGGTACAATATTTTTAGTACTAAATTCAGTAATGAATTAATGTTATGCTAAATTTAGTAATGAATTTAGCATAATGGCAAGCAGACCTTAGAAAACAGTTTCAGAACACTTATAATCAGATTTCCGCTACTATAGGATTTTTCACCTAAGAAGACCGCTTTGCAATTAAATGATGGTAACTTTATTACTAGTGCAAGTTCGGAACAGCGACACCTGGTGTCGTAAATCAGCAAAATTTACTGCGCTTTCATGTTAGATCGAGGTTACCGGATAAGTGTCAAGGACGTAGTCCCAAAAAAGAATAAGAAGAAAAACTAAGATTGAGGTTATGTCGGTATGTTATTAAAAGGTAAACGTTGTATGCAGTGTAAATACAAATAAATATATTATTAAATTACAGCATTACTGTTAATATGGATGCAATAATAAAAACTGGATTTGAGAAGGTAAATCACCAAATAACTTTTCAACCAAGCACTGTCAAAGGGAAAAGGTTTAGTAGTGGCAAATCATGTTAAGAATGTGGAAGAATTAAGAAAAATAAATTACCATAAATAATGCTAATGCATAAATGTATAAATTAGCAGGTTAAGCCCATGATATCATTATATTGATTTGAACAATTATTTTTTCTCTGTAAACTTTTGGACAGCGAATATATCTTAATTCATCTTCAGAAAAACCTGAAGTTGATGCATTTTTGTAAACTTCAAAAAAATAAAATTTAAACATTAAACTTGATTTTTGGGTTAAAATGAACTCTAAGTGAGTGTTATGAAACTAAAATTTACACTTAAAAGTGAACTTTTATTTATTATTTACTTCAACAAACCGACTTTAAAATCGGGCGCAAGAATAATGCATAATTTAGGTTATGTTACTTATGCTTTTTTATGATATAAATCCACTTTTCTCTTTGTAGTAATTTGTGCTTCGAAGTTGGAAACGAATAAAACTTAAATTGACAATTTTTTGTTGTATTTTTACAATTTCTAACACAGCATTTACTAAATTCAATTTTCTTCAGTGACAGAGGTGTAAATAAACAAACGAATATAAAACGTCAATTGACAATATGAATTTATGAAATCTATGAAACGTGCAGTAAAAAATGCATGATTTCTCCGCTTCTCGCGCACGATCGTTTCTCGTATCACATCCAAGTACTTGCACGTCGCCAATATGTTACACTACCTCTTTGAATAACATTTTACTGCTCTGTTGTTTCAATCAGCACTACTCAACAAGTTATCGTTTCTTGGTTTATAATTTTATTGCAATGTTAATTTTTTTTTTTTAATTTCTTCTGACGTATCGTATAATGTAGGTTTACCCAATAATCAAAGTTATGCATTTACAAAAACATATTATTTGAAAAATAAATAGTAAATACCATGTGTCATAATAATCGTAATCTCAGGAAAAAAGACAGTTAAGATTTTATACACACTTAAAAATTTGTTTACTAATGTATTTCTTAAATCCACATAATCATTGAAAAATTATTCATGATGTTTAAAATCGAAAGTAGATCAAAATCAAACGTCTTCATATTTCTCTTTTGTTTATCGTTAAAAATTAATTGATGGTCGTGGGTTGTATTTTTGTGTTTTAATAATTTAACAAAATACATAATCAGCAAAAACCTTATTTAAAACATGCGAACGGTTTTTGCAATCACAATCAATACAGTGTTTATGCTGGTTTAGCATAGTCTGTTAAATAACTTGTGTTCGATTGTTTTTAGTCCTTAAACCCTCGTCCTTTTTAGGGTGTAGTAGTTGTATATAAGTACCTATTTTTTATAGTAGTGTAGTGAAGTGGTACTTTAAAACAAAATGAGTAATTTGGAAGAAAATAAAATACAGTCGAAACATAGAGTGTTATCTCCAGAAGAACGGCGTTTAGTTCTAAAAGTCGAAAGTTATTTCAATTTAGAAAAAAATAATATGGGTCCAATGACATCTGTTATGGCAGTTCAGAAACGCACATGCGATGCTTGCGGTATCTCAAATAGAACATTCCGAAGAATTAATAACATGAGTGAGGATGAAATAAATAAAGTAAGCAAGAGAAATCGTCAACATCCAAAAACTTTAGATTTGCATCAGTCAATTAAACTTTCAATTAAAAATATTGCAAATGTTGCAAAAAACAAAAGACAAGGAACTGTGTGATATTAGTTTAACAAGTTTGTGGAGAGTGTTGAAACATTTAGGTTTTCGATATAAAAAGACAAATAATAGACGAAAAAGTATTGTGTGAACTCTCTAATGTTGTTTCAAAACGGTGGCATTTTCTCAGAAAATACATGAACAATAAAATGTCTGATAGTCCGAGGCAAGTTGTATTTTTAGACGAAACTTGGATTTTCGCTAAAGGAAATATGTCAAAATCATTTTGGCAAGATGGCACCACGAAATACTATTCTTCTAGTCGTTCCGGTAATGGTAAACGCTACATTATACTTCATGCTGGAAACGATGTGGGTTTTATTCCTGACGCTAGTTTAATTTTTTTGTCCACAAGGAATACAGGTGATTACCATGGAAATATTTTTAAAGAATGGGTTGAAGAAAATTTGTTAAAAAAATTGGAGCGACCATCCATAATAGTCTTAGATAATGCATCCTACCACTCAAGAGTAGAAGAGAGATTTCCTTCAAATAGCTGGACAAAAGAAGAAATAAAGTTGTGGTTGACAGAAAATAAAATTTATCACAGTGACATATTTTTAAAAGTCGATTTACTTCAAAGGTGTGGAGAGCACAAAATTCAAAAGAACTTTGTTACTGACCAAATGGCTCTTAAATATGGCCATGAAGTTCTTCGACTTCCGCTCTACCATTGCCACTATAATGCAATTGAGTTAGTTTGGGGTATAGCCAAAAGTTTTTATGATAAACATGCATCCAAAACAAAAGATGACGCTAGCGTTCTTGGTTTATGGACAGAATCGCTAGAACAAATAAAGGCAGAACAATGGCAAAATTGTATTAGACATACGGAAGACATAATCGTTCAGTCTTTTCAAACCGAGCGAGTTATAGCTGAGGTCCGGCCTCTAATTATTCGGATAGACAATTCAAATAGTGACGACTCTGCTAGTGAAATATCAGACAGTGAATAGGACAAATCTTTTGCTAAAAAGAAGAAACAAAAAAGTGTTTCGGGAATTCAATTCAAACTTTGTGGTGTGTTTTAGTTAAATGATAAAGTACCTTCGGTCTAATTACTGGACTGCATACTCTCAATAGCTTTGGTATTAATTACTGGACTACACGTGTTTAAACATTTTGTTTTGCTGAAAACTCGAAAGTGATTTAGTGCCAATTTGTTTCAAGGTTATATTCATTACAGTGTCTGCGGAAAGTAAAGTCTTGGATGTATTTTATTCAAATTTGGATATACCAGCAACTTGGCAAGTATTTTCCAATTTAACTGCATGCAAAACCATTCATATAATTCTTACTCTACGCCAAATAGAGACTTATAGAGACCTTGATGAACATTTGATGTCGACAAATAATTTCAATTATTCGAAATAATCCGTCTCACTTCTTTTAAGCGGCCTGTATATACATATTATATTTATTTTATTTGCTTTTGATACAGTAAAATCCAATATTATTACTGAACATAAAATACAGGAAATTAAATATTTTTTAAAAACGACGATTTAAATCAAATTCGTCTTGTCCACCGTCCATCTAGTGTTCTTGCTAAGTGCCCTGCCCAGTTCCCCTTTAGCATCGTGATATTTTCAAGACCATACTTTCTCTTAATCCACAATTCTTGTCTTCTTAAAAACTTGCATATTTAAGTCCTTGGTAGACATCAAAATGTAGGCAGTAACCATTAGATAAAGTCATTATCCAAGCATTGCGACCCAAATAGGAAATCGCTGATTCAGCTATAGAAATTTGACATACATTGGCTAATTTATCATTCGCTACATGAGGGTCGTCATTAGACTTCATCTCGAAAATAACAAAGTTAACAATTATTGTGAGATAACCTTCTGATTGTTTCTAAACTGACGTTACTATAAGCATATGAAAAAACTTACCTCGACTTCCCCTTTTGGTATCAAAGTCCCCTTTTCTCCTAACAGCGGGAAAATATCGTCCGATAACAAATTCAGTTTGTACTGAATCCTATGAACGGCTTCGCTTCCCATACAAGTGTTATATTCGTTCAACATTAAGTGTGTGGTACTGGCGGGAAAATGTTCCATCCAAGCTTTATACCTTAAAAGAGTTTATAAGAGGTTAATCATATGCGAACAGGCTCTTTAAATGACCTATTACTTTGTCTGGATATGTCAAATCTCTCTGCTAATCTCTGCATTTGATTAGCTACCGTACTACTGTTAGGTTGTCATTAGTGAGCTCCGAGTAGATAAGCAATTTTTATAAAAAGAATAAAATCTTAGTGAATATTATTTATGTGAATGCTGAATGTAAGATGCAGCAAGTGAAACTATTATTAATCTAATATGTTAGTCTGTTTCGATTAAAAACACTTTCGTTTGGAAATATTGCTAATAAATTAAACTAAAGTTACAAAAACTGACAGTAATTAAAAAGCACAAATAAATATTAGTATTTGTAACTGTATTTCTTAAACTATTTGGTGAATAATGAAAAACTTCGACAGTGACATCTCAAACACAGTCTTGTTAGATAAACTCCGAGCAGAAATCAGTAAAAAATCAAGTCAACAAAATAAATAAAACAGTAAAGTATCTTGAAGAAAAACATAATACAGTGCTTGACATATGTATACAGTTAGACAGGCAAATGAGAAAAATAATATACTGATATATGGAATAGAAAAACCTGAAAACGGAGATATAATTGAAGAAGTACTTAACTTGTTTCACGAGGTGCTTAAAGTCAAAGTGTCAGTTTGCTAAACAACGAAATAAACAATATTTATCAAATAAAAATAGGAACTAAAAACGCAGTTAAAATTGAATTTCTTTCTTATCTTAAGAAAAATATAATACTAAAAAACTGTAGTAAATTGCGTAATATCAATATATATGCTACGAGGGTAGACAAGACCAAAATCTTCTTACTACACATCTTAAACTAGAAAGAGAAAAGAAAATTTATGCTAAAATTCGTGGCAAATAGTCATAAACAATGAAAAATACTTTGCCAATCACACAAAGAGGCTACCTAACAACAAAACCTTAACCTGATAACTACACTGACTGAAAAACTGAGAAAGGAATCAGATACTGATAAAAGTAAATCAGAAAAAAAGAGTTCGGAAAAGAAAAGTTCGGAAAAGTGGAGAAGAACAAAAACGAAGATAGACAAGAAGAAGGAAAAAAGCCAAAATCAAGACACAACTCTACTTCAGGTACAAAAGAAAGAGTTAATACTCGGTAACATAGCGGTAAGTGCTAGAAAAAAAATCAACTTTACAGAAAATTTATGAACAACCCAGATGACCTAACATTTAAAAAGACAATACACACTTTACAAAAATATCTTAAATAAGCTAATTATTGAGGCAAAAAAAATTATTTTCACACGGAAATTACAAAATATAAAAATATTTCTAAAGGTCTGTGGAATACAATTAAAAAATTGGATAATAATAGTACAAAAAGTGAAATTAATTCCGATTTAAATCAAAATAATAAGGTAATCACTGATAGTCAGAATATTAGCAATATTTTTAATGATTATTTTTGTAATGTAGGGTGCAGGCTTGCTAAAAATATTAAAATATCATCTTCTCCTGATCCTCCAAATAATACATGTCACAGTAGGTTTTTTTCTAAAACCCGTAACAAAATCGGAAGTTCAGAGTATTATTCATTCCCTAAAACCAAAAAAATCTCCTGGCATAGACAACATTTCCGCCGATCTGTTAAAGATCATTTGTAATTATGTTGTTGATCCGATAACTGATTTAATAAATATAATATTTGAACATGTCCTGACCTTTTTAAAAAAAGCTCTAATTATACCTATATTTAAAAAAGGTGATACAAAACTGGTGCAAAATTATCGTCCTATATCCCTTATTACCAGCCTTGCAAAAATTTTTGAAAAGGCCTTAGCACAACGAGTAAATCAATATCTTACAAAGTTTAACCTGCTGTCTCCAAATCAATTTGGCTTTAAGAAGGGATATTCCACTTCAGATGCTATAACGTCCGCTACTGATTATTTATATAAGATTCTGGATAATGGCTCTCCTACTTTAGCCATATTATTGGATCTAGCTAAGGCATTTGACAGTAATCAGCAGTTGGTAAGTGCTTTGGATGATCTTGGAATAAGGGGCCTACCGTACTTACTATTTCAAAGTTATTTAAAAAATAGATCGAAAATTGTCAACATTTTCTAAACTTTCTTTTTTTTAATGACACAATTGGAGTACATAGATGGATATACTCACTTTCATAGATTAACCCTTAAATCGATACGAAGGAACGAAGATTCCAATAACAGCATTACAGAGCATCCGGAGTCCAACGAAGAGCGTAGACGTACACTGATTCTTCATATAATATCGTATTGTAGTGACAGATCAAAGAACAGCTCTTAAAGAGTAAAAATAAATGCGAAATTTTGTAATAAAAAAAAGTAAATGCAAAATTCATGTTTTTTTTTTGGAGAAAATTCCGTACCCTTACTTATGAGTTATAACTTTTGATTAATTGTTAACACCTTTTTTTCTCGGACTTCTTAACAATACGATAAAAAAAATGCAACTTATCTCAGAATAAAACACAACTTACAAGACACGATTGACTGAAGAGGGTTGTTAAAAACCCCCTTCCACCACTGCCCGGTACTCATAGTCAAGGTCTGTGTTTCACGACACAGCACACAAAGAATTTCGTGTAACAAACAAATAATGAAATTAGCCATCCAAAGTCACGCATCCTAACAGGTCAAAAATAGCCGGGATCACTTGTCAATCAAGGATTCTCGGGAATAGTTATTTCTATCATTAAGTAGTGGCGCGTAAGACAATATGAAATAACGCAAAAAAGAAAGAGTTAAAGAAACATTGTCATTCAATGTTTAATTTAAATTTGGTTATTTTAAAATCTTGAAGATGCACTCGACCGCAGCTGTTGTCAAAATTAAAGTATTTACCTACAGATTGAACGAATTTAAAACGGAACATACAATTTAATATACGTCTATTTGAACTGCATTTGAAATAGTGGACCAATATAAAACTTGGACAAAAATAAATACATATCCGCTGATAGACCTTGTATAAAATATCGTTCAACTATCTGTCTACTTTAAGAACGCACCGTAGTCTAAGAGCAACGCCTTAAGTCAATGTTGCCAATCGCCGTGTAATAATCCGATGTGCGGATCTGTTTGAGAGTTATATCTGCTTCGTATCTTTAAATAAATCGGATATTTGCCTATATTTTTCATTGTATTTACCAATCTACTACAACAGACTAATAACAAAAATAAACTTAATGTAGTTATTTCCTTTCTTTCCTGTAAATACATATTTTATGGTTTACAGGAAAGAAACACCTTATATGAGAAACAGCTAGAGGAATGAATAGCGGCAACACCGCTCTGGGCAAGTGCTGGTCTAAGGAAGCGAGAGTGGTTTGCAGTGTTCCCAAACCTACCGATAAATCGGTAGATGTACCGATTTCGCCGTTTTTCTACCGATGCGATGTACCGAAAAAGGCTTAAATTGTACCGAATTTTATATTCAGATAGAAATTTTTACTTATTCTTAAATTTGAAAAGAAATATGTAAGAGACAAAACAATTTTTCTTGCGATACCTGTAATTTGCATTGAGCATTTTTGTGTATTCACGAAAACGTGTGAAAACATTAAAATATTTATTATTAAATGATACCTAAGCGGTACTTTACAAAGTACATGATGTCATAACAGCTAATAATACAATAATAAATGAATCAAAAATCCATTGTGATCCCGACCGCTTGGTTCTGGGAATTTGTCAAGTTAGGAGACTTACAACCGGAACAAAGCTTCCTAGTACACCTCACGTAAAAACTCGGTAGTCTGTTTGTTTTATAATATTTCCTTATAAAAGGATTTTATACTCGAGGTTTCGGTTCTCGGATAAGTATTCGATTCCTAGTCACAGACTCATTTAAAGATTTAAATTTCAGTCAGTTATAATCATCTTTGTAGGAATTAATTACTTAGTTAAGAGTTTAGATTTTAATCAGTTTGAGTTTATATTTATATATTTTTTCTTAATAAGTGTTGACTGTTTTAGAGAATGTCTGATTTGTTTAAGATCTAATATTTTCTGTTACTTATTTTAATTTGCCTTTAATTTTCCTTAAGGTTAACCTTATTCACACAGATTGTCATAACCATTTTCGGTCACTTTCTGTTGCGTTGAGTAAATTTCTGACTGATTTCGTATGTTTTAAATCATAACGCACGGGTAAAGATAAATTGACTCAACTGAAATACGTCGTTATTGAATTCGTTATTGATCGAATTTCATTGCATGTGATTTCTCTCATCAAACGTGAGATAAATAAATAAATAACGAACATTTTCCTCCGGTTGGCAACACTGCTGAAATATACAAGTGTAGCTTTCAATTTTTATACGTGATGAGCGGGGCAACCTTTTTGGGGAATTTTCACCTGTTTTAAACAACGAATTCAGAATCCAGCCGCCCGCTGAAGTATTGGATTTGTATAATATAATTATTTGACAACCTTTTGTTGGCTAAGCACCTAAAGCGAAGTAGAGCCCATATACATGTATTTCCTATGTTCCGTTTTAAATACGTTCAATCTGTATATTCCAAAACCCTTATTACTTGCAAGAATCAAAGTTACGGAATAAAATGTTCTAGAAATATATACTAACCTGGGATTCTCCACTACGTTCTTTGGTGTAAAATGTACAATTAAACTAGCGATTTGAGTCTCGTCCTTGTTGTACTTTTGATGATTTGTGATAATTTGACTGTTTTCTAACGAATCTAAATAGTTAACAGTGGGGCAATCGATGACTAAAAATAAGAAAAATTTTATAAGCTACTTCTTCTTTTAAGAAGTTCCAAATAATATAATTAATAAAGTTTACAGTTATAAACGGCTAATTCACCATAAAAATTAATTTTAAATGTGGCAACAATGTGTCTTCTTCTTATAGTGCCGTGTACCTGTAGTACGTTGGTAAATTATTTTAGGGCCAGACGACTGTATTTTGAGGCATGCAAAAGATCGCCAGTGTTATTAGTTCTTTATGTTCCGTAGCCACGACATTTGTTTGCGACCTACTCCTCTCTTGCCTTCAATCTTTCCCTGGATGATTAGTTGAGTGATTGCGTATTTTTTTTGTCTCAGAATATGTACCTTGGTCAAATTGAGTAGTTCTCTCTCAGTATTTGCCTATCTTAAGACTTCCCCGTTGCTCACCCTATCTGTCCATGGTATGCGGAACATTCTTCGAAACGTCCACATTTCGAAGGCCTCCAACTTATTAGTGGAAGGTACTCTCAACGTCCATGTGTCCATGCCGTATAACAATATGGACCATACATAGCATTTAACCATCCTGTAGCGGAGATTAAAGGAAAGATTGCGGTTACATAGTAGCGGTTTAAATTTGATAAAAGCTTGTCTTGCTCGCACAATGTGTACGTCTTCAAAAACTCACGTAGAACGCATGGCGGTGATACCATTTAGCAAATTTAATGAATTTTGACTATTTAGTAACATTAATAGAGAGCTACGCACACACGAACTATGTTCGTAGTTCTCTGACATTAATATGCTTTACTTGATCTAACTGCAAAGACCTTTCGAACATAAGTAAGATTTGACCTTTTCTCTACTTCTCAGATAGGTCCAAAAATACCACGCGATTTTTGACACATTCGTTTAATGAAATTATTTATCAATGTTTTGTTTCGTCAGATTGTTTGGGCATTCAAGCCATGCTTCTAAAAAAATTTATTCATGTAAAATGCATTGCTTAAATTAATATTTAGACTTTCTTACGCTTTAAAAATGTCATTTATTTGACCAAAGTTAACAAAGGTGTAATGAAAGCCCTCATTAAGTAAAATTTTGGCAAGTAAAGAACTTTGGAATAAATACGGGTTTACCAAATTACTAAATTGTGCGATTTTCCAATAATAAAAAACAAAAACTATATATAAATATATTAACTTACCAAGAAATACGACACCCGGATCGTCGGGTTCGCAAACGTCTGCTGATCGGACAATAGTACCGTTCGGTAGAGTCACGTCTTCTCCAGCTTTGAGTTTGCCGAACACGGGTCCTGGTTTTATTCCCATTTGAACACACTTTTCTAAACACAATGCTCCCGGTCTCGGTTGTAATTTGCAAACATAAGCCATAGAGATTCCTTGTTCTTTAGTACTTTCAAGCATCGGATGAGGTTGTGGCGTTGCACTGTTACATACACGAGTACCACTTTCTATAAAACGTTGACACAATAAAAACCAAGAACATACATACATAGATTATTTAAAACATATCACATTATTTATGTTACCAAATGGAAAAAGTCAGGATTATCTATAGTAGAAGCCACAGTTAGAATGCAATGTAGGTAATATAGGCAGAGCCGGTTTAACACACAAATATTTCTTTAACTTTATTTCAATTCAACAAAACATATTTTGAATACAAGTTTATAAGGAAAACAATTAAAACTTTTTTTGGTTTCAAACTTAAATGAATACTAACAAAATACAAGAAGAAAGTTAAGAGCGAACTTCAAAAAGTAAAATAAAAATGTACCTAATAACATTCAGACAGGTAACATCAGGTAGGTAATCAAATACAGTAGTCTCTCTTTATAACAATTCCCTCTTCTTCTTCTCGTGCCACTCCTAGCGGAGATTGGAAATCATCATGGCCACTGCGACTTTGTTAGCAGCGCGCCTGAAAAGTTCAATCGAACTACACCCGAACCATTCACGTAGATTACGAAGCCACGATATTTTTCTTCTTCCCACACTTCTTTTGCCCTTAATTTTGCCCTGCATGATGTTTCTTAAAAGTTCGTACTTTTCACCTCTCACAATGTGCCCCAAGTATTCCATCTTTCTAGTTTTTATCTCATTTAGAATTTCGCATCTTTTGTCTAAAGTTTGGAGTACTTGCGTGTTAGTGACGCGGTCCATCCATGATATTCTGAGAATGCGCCTATAGCACCACATCTCGAAAGCTTCGATGTTTTTTATGGTCAACTGTTTTAGTGTCCAAGCCTCAACTCCATATAACAGGGTAGAAAAGACATAACACCGCAGCATTCGTATTCGTAACTTTATATTGATATCACGATTGCAAAAGAGTTTGCGCATTCTATTAAAGACTGATCTAGCGATTTCTATTCTACATCTAATCTCTTTTGTTTGATCAGTATCGTCTGTGATCCAAGCACCTAGATATTTATAACAGGGCACACGCTCAATCGTTGTATTGTCTATTACAAGATTAGCTCTGATGTTCTTTGATTTCGTGATTACCATAAATTTAGTTTTTTTCAAATTAATTTTCAAGCCGTAACTGTTACAGTATATATTGAGACTTTGAACGAGATGTTGTAGTTCTACTAGCGTTCCCGTTAGGAGAACTGTATCGTCAGCATACCTTATATTGTTGATCGTCTCACCATTTATTATCAGACCAAGATCTTCTTCCTCGAGTGCTTGTTCACAGATAGCTTCACTATACAGATTAAATAAAAGTGGCGATAAGATACATCCCTGCCGGACTCCTCGACGGATTTGAATTTCTTCTGTTAGTCTGCCCTCAACCTTGACATTTGCTGTTTGATTCCAATATAGATTGCATATAATTCGAATATCTCGGCTGTCTATATTTTTCTTTATTAGAACTTGTCTTAGTGGTTCATGTTGTACTTTGTCAAAGGCCTTTTCGAAATCAATAAAGCAGGCGTAAATTTCTTGGTTCATGTCTAAGCATCTCTGTGAGAGAACGTTCATTGCAAACAGAGCCTCCCTTGTACCCAGCCCTTTTCTGAACAATTCCCTATATAACGATAATTCCTCTATAACGATGAAAACAGTAAACGTTGGTGGATTCGTCATAAGGACAATGTATTCATTATTTCTCTATACCGATATCGTTCTCTCTTTATAGCGATGACTTCAGCGTTCAATAGTCGCTGACAAATGTGTTATTGTGTTTTAAGTTTAGACTACCTGAGTCAAGAGTGGCAAGGTCATTGTCCAGCGGTTGTTTTGTTTTTGGAAGGAGAAGAAGAGGGTGGAAGAAGTTGCGGAAACCTCAGCACGAAGATTTAGATTGCGCTATGCCGCAGTGGTTCCAGCAGCAGCGTTTGAACCATATTCCACTTTCTGGGCCTGTGGTTAGGACGACAAAAGCTGAGTTTTTTGCAACTGAAGTTGGAATTGAGAATTTCAAGACATCTGAGGGTTAGCTGAGCAAGTGGAAGCTGCGGCACAAGATAAACTATGGGCAAATTAGCGGACAGGCTCGCACGATGAACAAAAACGTAAAGAATGATTGGCTAGAAAATTTTTAATGCTGATGAGACTGGATTGTTTTTTAAAATGACACCAAACAGAACTTTAAAATTTAAATCGGAAACGTGCGTTGGTGGAAAACTCTCCAAGAAACGCATTACAGTTTTAGTGGCCGCTAACATGACAGGTTCGGTGAAGCGAAAATTGTTAGTGATAGGGAAGTTAAAATCCCACGTTGCTTTAAAAACATAAAAAATCTACCGGTGACCCATAAAGCAAACAAGAATCGTAGATGACTTCGGAAATTTTTGAAGAAGCGATAACAAAGTGGGATATCTAGCTTAACGAGAAAAAATTCTTCTGCTTGTAGACAATTGTCCTGCTCATCCTGTGCTGTGCTATCTTTAAAACATTGAAATTTGTTTTCTGCCAGCAAACACAACAAGTGTCCTTCAGCCCATGGACCAAAGTGTCATCAAGAGTTTGAAAAGTCACTACAGGAAAAGACTTTTGATGGAATTGGTTGAGAACAATGGCGATCTTAAACTAAACATTCCCGGCGCAATCCTAACGATTAATAAATCCTGGGACGAGATGACGAGCAATACAATAAAACATTCCTTCAAACACGCAGGATGGCTGGAAGATCAAGGATTGACTGATGATGAAAATGACCTGTTCTTAGATGTTTGAGCCAGACAGTTTGAACTAACTATCATCTACAGATCGGAAGAGCTAACAGATTTTGAAGAAGTTGATGAAAATGTAGCTACAACATCTGGACTTTCTGACGAGGACATCCTACAAGAAGTTCGTGTAGAAGAAGAAGAAAACAGTGACCTGGAAGTGGAAGCACAGCCAGAATCAGCTCCGACCCCTCAGTAGGCATTGGATGCACCAAAAGTATTGCATCGATTCTTCATTCACCAGGAAGACGATATGAGTACTGTGGAAGATTCTATGCGTATTCAGGACAGGCTCAGGTCAGTTCTGTATAAAGGGAAAAGAAAACAGACCAAGGTGATAGACTTTTTTGGTAATGTAGGCTAAATATATTTTACAGTAGCATATTATTTTTTATTGTACAATACACATGTTTTAATTGTACATTAATTTTTTTTATACTGTATTGCTTATATTATTCTTTAATAAATCTGTGGTGTACAATACAGTGTTAATTCATTTATATTCGTTTTGACAAATTTTTTAAATTAAATTATGTAGGTTCTTTAGTACAGTAATATTAATATTACAGTATTGAATTTTGTCTCTGTCTCTCTCTCTGTATAACGATCTTTCCTTATAACGATGAGAATTCCCGATCCCCTACACATCGTTATAGAGAGAGAGGACTGCTTTTGTTGTAATTCGGTTGCTGATCTGAAAATATCTTCATCTTCCGTAAATTTTAGTTTAAAAAAAAATTCAAATGCTCTTGAACAAGATTTATAACTATCAGATCAGCGAATAATCTCCGTCTTAGGACTCTTGTGTCTATTAACAAAACGTAACATTGTGTTCGCATTTTTTTTTTTTGCTTAAACTTGCCTCAGAATTCTTTTCTCCTAATTGCAATTTTTCGATAATCCTTTTCTCAGCATAATTTTCGTTCCCTGTTAAGAACATTCCTAAGGCCACGTAGTGAGAAATCAAAGTAATCTGCTAAAGATGATAACAGATGAGCACCATATTTTCCTTTTGTATTGCTTTATTCACCTCATTAACCCTTTGTAAAATGTCAAGCCAGAATGATAAAATTATTCCATTTTCCAACAAATAAGTCTTTCCGATAGAAAAGTTGCTTCAGCCCTTACTACATTTTTCTCATTTATATCCGTTGACATTTCAATCAAACATGTTTTAAACAAACCGTACTTACTTTTTAACGCTTTTACGGCATCAAAACAAGAAGACCATCGGGTTGTATTCACTCTTTTAGGCAACAGTGTCTGCCCTGACTCTGGCGAATCGTTTATTACAGGAGACAATATCTCCCACCTGTGTGGAGACACGGAGAAAAAATTGTAGATAGCTTGTACCAACATAAAAAAGCTTCTAAAAAACAATCTGCTGCATTTTGGACAAACCAAAGAGAGTTAAATTACTGTAAACTTTAATATGTGCTTGCAAACCAGAATACTTGCCACTCTTATTACTGGCATTATCGCAAGACTAACCTCTACAATTCTTAATATCTTATTTCAAAGACTCTAACATCCCAATAACTGTATTCATTGAATAAAGATCATTATAAAGTCATTACGAAAAGCGAATCAGTTTTAATCCCCATTGTCCACGCAAAGCCAACATGTCTCTTTGTCGATTTGGGTACTGGCCATTAGAGCAAAAACTTGTTGGTAAAAACTATAAAAGCTGTTTTATTTCATTTTCATTTTATTTCATTTGTAGAAAGGTTGATAAAAAAGCTTACCACGCGTATACACGTGAAATGCTGACATCAACATTTATTTGTCTACCAAAGAAAGTAAATGCCAAAGAATGTAGTGATTATCGAACGATCAGTTTAATGTCACGTACCTTAAAAACCCTGCTAAAAAACATCCATAATAGAATACACGCTAAGCTGGAGATGGATATTAGTGATTCCCAGTTTGAATTTCGGAATGAACTGGACACAAGAGAGGCACTATTTTCTTTTAACGTGCTGACCCAAAGATGTTTGGATGTTAATCGAGATCTTTATAGACTACAACAAGGCATTCGATAAGGTAAAACATGACCGACTTATAGAAGTATTCAAAAACAAGAATCTGGATGTAAGGGATGTAACATTGAAATCAAATTTATACTACAGCCAACGATCAAATGGGAAAATTGGAAAAGAAATGTCAGAAGAAGTGGAGATAAGGATATGGGACAGGCAAGGTTGCATACTGTCGCCGTTATTGTTTAATGTTTATTCTGAAGAAATCATACAAGAAGCTTTGGTAAACTAGGC